TAATACCTATAAGAACTTTAAAGGATTTGATGGGGAGAGTGATATGGTTTGGTTATGTGGTTTTATTTTTTAAAAATTTCTTTACAGTAAAAATAAGTTGAATTTTAAAAGACACATAGTCGTGCAGCTAGCACAACCAAAATATATATAGAGTATGTTCAAAATAATGAACATAGTCATTACTCCCAAAATTTTCTCCAGGTCTCTTTTATTCCTTTCTTCTCTCCAATGACAAGCTTATGTTACTATAGAGTACTTTACCTTTTCTTTTAGAATTTTTATCAATAGAATCAGGCAGGGTGCATCTTTTTTTTCTGGCTTCTTTCGCTCAGCATAATTATTTTGAGATTCATTCATGTTCTTGTTATCAAATACATAGTAGTGTATATTAGTGTGCTGGATTCATTTTGGGAGGACTAAGTCTAGCAAAACATTATATGCATGTATGCATAAATATATACATATATACATAAGAGTGATAAAGGTTCTGAGAGAAATATTTGGTATATCTGCACAGTTCTTGTTATAGTATTGTGGATAAACAATAATACAGATGTAGGGAATATGTTACCACTTTCTGGGGACAGTATATTTTCATGGAAAAGGTCAAAGGTCCGGGGTCAAATAATAACCATGATATAATTAGTGCCTGAACATCCTTATTTCACATCTCTGTTCATTAATTTCATTATCCTTTAAAAACTGGGAGATAATGTCAGCACTTATGATTATTACGTGTATTAAATGGAATCCTATCTAATAAAAGAGAAACATGGTAATAGCCGTACCTCCGCTACCCTTCCCATTGGCTAATCAGGGTGATATGCAAATTAACTGCTAGCCAAGATGGCAGCCGGCAGCCATGCACTGAAGCGAACAGGGAGGCTTGCTTGCTCCAGTGACGGCGGACTCCACCGTTCCCCACCTGCCGCTGCCGGCCTCTCAGCTACAACTCTAAGCAACTATGTACTATGTTGCAAATAAGAAGCTAAACAAAACCCCAGAAACCGGCTGTCAGTCAGCCAGGTTCATCCAGCCAGACCGCAACATTGTATCGATGTTTGCAGCAGCGAGGCCTCAGAGCTAAAGCTGGCCCAGAA